TCCAGACCACCCTGTGTTACAGCCATAGCTCACTATTTGTAAATGTTTGTTTTTAAAAGCAGCTGTGCTTTTGAAAATGACCCTGCCAACGTGTTTCTTGTAGTATGGAACAAATCTTGAAATAGATTAAAACTTGCAAAATAAATAGGCTGCTTAAACTAATTTTTCAGAACTAAGTGATCTCGTTATTGTTCATATGGGTATTTTTTCTTTTTTAGACAAAAGTTGTAGTGTGTCCCACTGTCATGAATCCATAGACACGCAAAAACTTTCTTTACAGCAGGGCTTACAAAATGGTTTAAAAATACGTTACTGCGGTTGAAACTTGGATATTTTAAAAGGCCTTAAATATGCTCAAAGCATCTTACATTTTTTCCATTTGACAGTGTTTAAGGTTGAGATCTCTGATAGGAACAACAACTGCCTTGAGAATTAACTTCTACATATAGTACTGTTTGTATCCTGGATTTTTGATTCTGCCATTTAAATATGTCTGTTGCATCTCGTTCAGTACTAAAAGGGGCAAACCAGGCACTAATCATGTAATGAACTGACACGTTTTGAATAATTAGAAAACTTTAAAGGTAAGGTGAGTCTGCGAGGTATGCTCATTACATATGCAATTTAGTGCTTTCCAAAGGTGAGAGAATAGGGGTAGGAGTAGGGCAAGGAAGGAGAGAGGCAGTGGTAGGAAAAGGCAAGGAGTTGTCTCTTCATATTTATTTTCCCATGGATTTTATGAGAAGTTTCAATTTATCATTGCTGCAGTAAAACTGCTGTTGGGTTTGGTTTTATTCTCAATTTTGTTTTCTATTAAATTATTGGCAGAAGTTAGCTTTCCTGTGAAGAGAAAGCAGCAGGAAATGACAGTGAATGAGCTCAAGCTGTTTATAACAGTGTGTGCTTTATTTAGAGACTATGGTATATATAATGTGGGAGTCTGGAAACCCGTATTCAAACAGTGACGCCAGCAGAGCAATCTGATGTGGTGCTCTGGCCACCCTGACTTCTGCACTCTGACATTTGTTTGCAGAATGCAGGGGGTAAGGTGTGTTTTTTGGTTTGTTTTTGTTTGATTATTTTTGTTTTCTGCTTGGTTAACCACTCAGTGGAGGAATCTTTAAGCTACAATCCCTCACGTCTACTCTTTTTCATTTATGTATAATGCTAACAGTTGGTAATTAAATTATCATTTAATGTGTGTATATTTTTTTTCCAAATATTTTCAGAGTCCTTTTAGACAGATTCATCAAGTGAAAGCAACTAAATGAAGCAATAGTTTTGTTTAAGAAAGGAGTATAGGCTTTCTGGAGTCAGCACACTGCAAGAGAGTTTTTATACAGTATCTGGAATATCTTGTCTCCTGAAGCTTAGATGGTTCACTGAGTAAAGTGCGCTGAGCACCATTCTGGCCTCACTTGAGTAACATCTCCTATTACTGTTAGCCTTCCTGCACTTTTTTCAGTAGTTTTACTAGTGGGATATTACTGAAGGTTCAGGAAGAAGCACTCAGGGCAGTATTCCTTGAGCAGCAAAAGGACAGACATTATTACGGTAAGGTAGTGCCTGACCATTCAGATATTCCAAAAGACTATTGCTGGTTTTGATTATCAATAGGAGTCATTAGGAAAAAAAGTGTTTCGAAGAGCTCCAGTGTTGAAAGAGGGTGTTGATGCTGCGAGTTGCAAGTTCATAGCACATACTGTTTTCTGTACGCATCCTGCTACCTTCTGCTGTTTCAAGACATTTGTCTACACAAGTCCAAGTGCTGGCAGGAAAATCATGCTTCTGTTGTAAAGTAGGTGATAAAAATGCCTACAGTAATCCAGTTGTGTACACTCCTTAGAAAACTCTGGGAAGAACTAACTCTTGTCTGTTATTTCACTCACTGACCTGCTTCTGCAGGCTTATAATTTTGGTCTGTAGTAATCACACAGTATTTCAGTGGGTACAACTGAATCACAGTGCTTACACACACAAACACAGAACCGCACACCTGACACACCTGTATTTTAAATATGTGTTGCCATTTAGCTCTTCAAAATGTCATCACGCCGTGGCTGTGTCACTTTAGCAAAGACGCAATGATGAAAATGCACGGGGTGTGTCTAACAAGTTAATGAAAATAAGGATATGGTGAGTTTTTTCCCTGAGCTTTGCTTTTGTCGCTTTCCTCATTAGAAACAGTAAATAGGCAGAGCTTTATTACCAATAAGCAAATGTAGCCCATGCTTCAACCTGACCAGTGTTTATCTGTTGGTGGGCAGCTTGGCTGCAGATGGGATTGTGCTGTTTTCTCTCTTGTCATATCAGAACTGAATTTGGTTGTGAAAGACAAAGGCTCTCTGCCAGTTTTCTGCTGTTCTAGTTTGCTTATGATGAGCAGTCATTTCTCCACTTTGTCTGTTTTCTCCTTTTCTTAGGTTTGCTTGATTTCGCCCAGCCTTTGCTAAGGTTCAAAGAGGTTCATTGTCTGTAGAAGTGAAGAATTCTAGTTGTCTTTATCAGGCCTCATCTCTTTCCTTGACACAAGAATTTCTTTCCTTGGCGTAGTTCATTAGCAAGAAAGGTTTTTCCTTCTTTACTGGGGAAAAAGCCAGAGGAATAACCTAGAAGACACTCTTCCTTTGTTGCCTCTGCTGATGTTGCTTGGTAATAATTGTGTGTAATGGAAATGTTAACTTCCCTAGTGAAAGAGCTTTCTCAGGGTTGGTACAGAAGTGGGAACAATAGCAAGGAAAATGCTGTTGGCACTCCACAAGTAGCAGTAATTGTAGTTAATCTTTGTCATCCTATGGTTCCTAGAGGTGTCTGTAGTTTGTCACAGGCATTCATGCTGTTTCTTGTGAATGTTACAATCAAGATGATTAAATCTAATGTACGAATCCATTGTGCATACTTCTCTGTCTTCTCCAGTGTATATATGAATTTATATAATGACTATCTAGTAAGGACCCTGTATAACTAGTCTGCATTCCACAAGTCACTCTTAATCTAAACCATTTCCGCATACACAAGTATTCAGCTTGTGTTTTTGAACTAACTTGATGTGTGTTTGTGTTGGCCTCATGGACACAAGGCAGACTGTGTTTCAGGATGTGGCATCATTCTGCCTGTTTATCCCCCCCACCTTGAAACTGCATTTGTATCTTCCTTTTTCTACCAGGCTTGAAAGAAACAGGATTTTTGGATGGAGATGAGCTGGTTGTGAACTTACTGTGCTGAAGTGATAAAACTAATGCTCATGAGGATGGGGGGAGCACTTAACAGTGGCATGGTTAGGAATACATTTGCGTGTGTGAGGCAGCGTATGAAAAACATTCTGTAAAGGTGCAAAGCATCTTTACATTTTGCAGCTATGTTGCAATTGTCTGCTTTTCTGGCGGTGTTTCTGACGTGAATTCAGGAGGCTGCCACAGTTCCTGCTTCCTGTTTTACGTGTAAATACTTGTACTGTGGATTGCCTACGGTCACTGCACCTTAGATTTAGCACTTGAGTAAATCCAGTGTTACATTAAGTACTTCACAAAACCAGTGCACAAGTTAGATACAGTTATATAAAATTGCTGCTCACATTCTTCAAAGAGATCTGACTCAAGTTTTTTCTTCTAGCTGTTGCAGAAACAGAATAAAATTGATGGAACCTCTTTTGGGGGGGGAAAAACGCATTTTAGATTGAACCTGTTTCATTTGTCAGTGCTTATGTTCAGTGTCCAGCTTACTGAGGGTTAAGTTGCTGTAGAAGACTGAGGTGAAGACTTACGAATTTGTGTTAGGGATAATAGTGTGCTTTCTGTGCTTTGCTTTTTTTTTTTTTTGTCAGTGATTTAACCTTCTGGTGTCATTGATACTCAAAAACAATTTTCACATTTGATGGCTGTTTGGTAGCCAAGTGAAAATTGCTGGAGGTTCTGGAGATGTGTCATTTTGTTTAAAGCTGTTAACAGGAAACTGAGCAGGGAAAAAAACCCTAGAGAGTTCTGTAGCCAAAATCTCTACGAAGAAGCAAAACCAGGATGGATATAAAACCAGCTCTCTACTTGTTATTTTAGAGCTTGTTGTTCATTAAAACTGACTTCCTGCAATTGTTCCCAAAACTGATGCAGGGTGCATTTTGTAAAGAAATAAAAATGCTGGAGACTTTGGCTTCTGTGGAAGAAGGGCTTTATTGATATCAGACAGTAGGACACAAACCATGTGAATTAACACTTAAAAGGGAATTGTCACTGTATATTTAATGCTTTACAGAGTCAGTTTTTCTTCCCTGTTTGGTACACAGAAGTTATTAACAGTCATCTCCAGAACTGCCTCATCATTTGGTACTCATCACAGAGGTTAAAGCTGGTGTAATCTTTGGCCTTTCCGTACTAGGTTTGGTGGTTTAGGCAGTGTTTCTGTCTCCCATAATGTAGCGTACCACACTCGTTGTTGCAGTAAAATTGACAGAATTTCAGATCTTTTAAACCATGTGAAATGTGGCTTCTAAAATAACTGTTTACCACTTCCAAGGAACCAAGACTCTGCAGTGTGGAGAAGTCTTGAGATTGGGCATTGGAGGTCTTAGGAATGTCCGAAGAACTTGCTGTCACCTCTAAGTCTGGGGTGCTTCATTTCAGGCATGCCTACCTGTATCTTCATAGCAGTCACGTAATGCTTCAAAAATTGGGTTGTCAGACTAGGGATTTTGAAGCTTTATCACTGTAACCTTTTGGAATACAAAAAGGGACACACAGTTGCACTAAATTAACAACAGTAAAATGAGAGAGACCAAAGACTCCCGTTGGGCCCTTCTCATGTTAGGAGTTGGTCAGCTTCTGCTGATTCAGCAGCCCTGACCTCCCGTAGCACCACATCTGACAGTTGTTTCTTATTCAAATGCATGAAGTAGTAAGAGTAATAAACTGGAGGAAGAGCAATGTGTTGGCTGCAGAAGGTTAGGTTAAAGACTAGTAAATCTGTGTGAAAGACTCTTACTACTTCTGGTGGTATCTTTCTTGCAGTTTTGGAACCCTTGTTGCGATTGGAGTTACTGTTTGTGCAGTGATTGTAATTACTATTATTCTGTGCCTCACCTGTTCATGTTGCTGCTTGTATAAAGCGTGTCGACGACCACGGCGTAAGTACCTGTATATTTATTTTCTTTTTCACTTCTTTGAACAAGACTTTTTCTCCTGAAAAATTGTGTTCCTATAAAAGGTGAAAATAATCTTGCCTTACCTCTCTGCTACAAAAGTTACAATACCTAAACATTAAAAATAAGCATTTAAGCTGCTTCAGAATGTAAAGTTGCAGAGATGTAAAGTTGCAGAGATGTTTTGGAATATTTTCTAAGCATTTAGTGTCTGTCCCCCCCCACAATGTGTGGATTTTGAGTTGGGGGGGGGGGGATGATGACACACTGTTTAGGTAAGCAGAGGATAAAATGAAATTTTAAAATTTTCCCAATCTCTTAAATATATACCTGAAAAATACACCAAAGGCCCAGGACTGCAAATGTGCAATCTTGAGCAAAGTCTGTAATTGTAGCATAAAGAGGGAAGAGATCTTAAAAACAAATTATTGTAGTTTTTTAGAAAGTAAGAGAGATGAACCAATGATCCAATGTCAGGCCCTACAAAAATCAATGACAATGTGCATTTGTCTTTCTAACTGTTATTTAGAGGAAGATGTACTAACACATGGGTGTATTAGTGTGTAGACAACATGCAAAAGGAAACTCATTTGGGCAATCATGGTAGGAAGCCCCTTACCTTTAATAAAGGAGATCTTTATCACCTTAATCCTTAAAAGCAGATCACATTTAGAACTGAGCAGGCTTTTCCAGTCTCATGCCAAATGATAGATAACTTGGCTGCAAGGTTGAGTTCCTGGTTTTTGAAGAGTCCAGGAAAAAAATTCTCTGCTCTTTGTGATTGAGAAACAAGGAGATAAGTTGGCTGCTGTCCCAGTATGTGAAGGCTCTCATTACCACTGAGATCAATGGAAGGATATGTAGAGGCACACATTTCTAAATCTTTCGTGGAACGTTGAAAATGAAATTACCCAGATTTTGAAGTGAGAAATTGATCTTGAGAGAATGTTTGTTACATTACTGTTGTTGGCTGTCCCAGGTGATCTCCTAGGACCACCAGCACTAACCATGTTCCTTCTGCTTGTTTGTAGCTGTTGTGACCGCCACTACTTCCACTACGGTGGTTCACGCTCCCTATCCCCAACAGGGAGTGCCACCCAACTACCCAGTAGCCCCATATCAAGGTTATCAGCCTGTGGCTATCCAGCCCCAACCGGGAATGCCGGTAGCACCATACCCTGCTCAGTATCCTCCCCCTTACCCCATGCAGCCGTCAGGACCCCCAGCTTATCATGAAACGGTGGCAGGTAAGGCAGAACTGAGTATTTCTTCATCTCTTAGATAGCTAAAGAGACAGTTGTGTTGGAGCCAATCTTGTATTATTTACGTTTATTGTTTTCTATGATTTTATTAATGTAAATGTAAACAAATTATGTAAAACTCAAGTGATGGTGTAATTCACCCTTGCTGAAGTTTCCCCATCACCATTTCTGTGTTAAGCATTGCGGGATGAGGTGTAGCTGGAGCTCTATTGGCAAAGTTTGGTGGTATGTGGGACTGTCAGTGGATCTAGTAGAATGTTTACTAATTCAGTTGAAATTTCATATTGAAATTGAAGTCCAGTTAACATATGTATAGTAGTTGGGTGTTTCTACATACTCTTTCTAATCTAATACTTGCTAGATGTTTTAATCTATACGCAGATGGCATTTTTTAGTAGTTCATTGTTGTGTTTATAGAATAACAAGTCTTTGACCAACTTCAGACAAGTTTGATGACTAGCAGTTAGAATTATTGGAATCTTTTTCTTTTCCTTCTGCTTTCCTTCTTTCACAGCATTGTTCTCATGCAACTTTATTGTTGCTATTACGAATTCCCAATTCCAGTAATAGCTGTTCTCTGAACAACTGGCTCCTGGCTGTTCAGAGAGGCTAAAGCTAGGCTGTTCTCTGTCCTAGGATCTTCAAAGCCCTTTTACAAACCACACTGTTCATCCTTCTAAGTAACAAGCAAAGAATAGTCCTGAATAGAAGATAATGCCCTTAGAAAGTAACTCTCATGACAACTCAAATATAAAATGTCTGTTCATAGTCTTAAGCATTTGTAAACCAGTTAGAAATTGTGCATTAACAATGTGCAAACCAGTCCCACATGTAAAAACACTGAGTTGGCAGACCTGTTGACTTTATCTTTCTGTTGTAAAATTCTGAAGAGGCTGTGGGGTTTATGGGATTTACCCCAAAGTGCTTTGGCCTCATCTTTATCATGTGAGGGAGTCAATAAAATAGTCATTTTGCTTCTCCTGCTCTCTAGTTTCTCAAAATGTTGCTGGTTTGTTAGTTCTTAAAAATTTATTCTTTTTCTGGGAAAAATCTCAAAGCATTTTCCATGTTGCCAGCTGAGAATGCCTCAAAATGAGAGCTCTTTCCTTTATTTCCCTTGTCTGTTAACCAAGGGGCAGTCTCTTAATTAGGTCACGTGCAAGGGAGAGATTACCTGCCCTGTCACACAGGAGCCAAACCCACTCACTTTACAAGATCAGCAAAAGATAGCAACACTTAGACGTTCCAGGGATCCGATCAGGTCCTGTGTTATTTGAACTAACTTGTGCTATTTGACAGACCTGAAAATGAAGGTGCCACTTGAGAGCAGCTTGTCTCAGAATACGAGAAAATAAGATTACCTTCTGAGTGATATACATCTAGTATAGAAGTTAAACACTTTAATGCACTCAGTAGCAGTGGGATGCTTTTTTCCCTTTTATTTTTTTCAATTAAACTCTGTGATGCTTATCAGAAAAGCATTTTCCCTGAAGGAATCCTAAGATGCTTTCTGTAGACTTTTTTCTTTTGCCCAGTGGTTTATTTTCACTTCTCGGCATACTATGAGGTATATCCTGTTGTTTCCGCATCTCTGACTTCCACTGGCTGTTGCTCTGGACCAGATTGGTTCCTTTTCTTTTTTTTTTAAATTTTTTTTTTTTTTTTTTTTTAGACTATGGGTTTTTTTTTTCCCTGAAGGGTAACCATGTGCTTGTGGCTGCCATAACTCACATGCACACTTGAGAATCACATGAAAAAAAAAACCAACCCACAAGAACAAAGGTTTTTGTGATCTTACTTTTGAAATGTGGATGCTTTATGAGTTAGCACAAACTGTTCTCAAGTCCAATTAAGATGCTAGATAAGTTGAACCTCTTAACCGTGTGCTCAAAACAGAAGTTGCCATTATATATGTAGAATTTGGAATGTAAATTTTACAAATCTGCTTTTCCTTGTGTTTTGCTTTTGCAGCTGGTGCTGGAGCACCTTACCCAGTCAGCCAGCCCCCTTACAACCCTGCTTATGTGGATCCTCAGAAGCCCACCTATTGAAAAGATCTTCTGCTATGCTTCTGCATACAAAACTTTTTAAAGTATAATTTGTGCTGTTTACACTGTGCAACTGTAATATATTTTTCTGGAAGAGGGTAATCTTTTGTCTAAGTAAAGTGAAAGTTAAATCAGTATCTTTTATTTTTAAATGCTTCAAGTACGAGGAAGGAGTATTTTTCTTGCAGAAGTTAATTTATACCTCAAGCAAATACAAAAAGAGATATTGTTCTATATACAATGAGAAAAGCATGAAGGAGGAGTACTTCAGAAATAAGAACCACAATAACATTTGCTGTGCAATAATTTTGAAAGGAGTGGTCTAATATGAGCATTATCAAACACCCAAAACTGTAGCAATCTTTTGCACAGTATTAAAACATAAAAACTTAATCTAAGAAACTACCTGATATATGTTATGTATGTTCTGCCTGTTTTGAAGCTACTATCGTTAGGTAAGCTACAATATAATACATTTCATTTACCATTCAAAAGGGAATTTTCCTATTTTTGAAACATATTTGCCTTCAGTAAGGGGTAGCAAACCATGTTTAATTGTTTTTGGACCAGTTGTATTTTTCTGTGCTAAATAGCATGAGTTGATAATTTCCTTGTTTTCTTTACCAATTTTAAGGCTTAAACTGTGCCTTCATTGGGTGTTTTCTCAGGCCATTTTAATTTATAGCTAAAAATTAACAACAAAACCAAACTCTCTGCCACTTAGTAGGACAAATAGATCAAAAGCTGAAAACATGAGAATTCTTCTTCATGAGAAAATTATTGGGCAAGTATTTGTTGTCCCAAGTATTATTGGACAAGTTTACTTTTATGTTGTTTGTAAGAAATTTATATGAGTTTGTAAGAAAAAAATAGCACCTTAGTCATATGTTAAGCATCGGTACCTGCCAGTGTTCAGTCCTGCCTCAGCATAGGGAAGGAATTTATTTTACAGGAGAGATGGGATGTCAGAAATAGTTTGGAGTTTTTAAATGCTTAGGGTTTGTCACTCTGTCTCTAGTGGGAACTGTAGATGGCAGGAACCTAGGGATGATAGATCTTTATAAACTCAGTCTGCATTTGAATTGTAATATGCAGAGGGGGGATAAGAAATTGCAGCCCAATACATAGTAGGGATTAAACCTCTCTTTTGTCTTCAACATTCCCATAAAGCTGAGCGAAGAATGAGAAGTCAGGAAAAGGAGGAGTGGTAGGATTTGGTCACAGCGAGGTAATGTATTTTCAAGAAGGTAGTGCTTACAGTCATGAAATGTCTTGAGATATCCTTGTGACTTACTGGTGTTTGCAAGTCTTTTGGCTCTATACACCTTATTGATCAAACGAATCATGATTTTTTTTTTTTTTTGTGTCCTCTACAATTCTATCTTTTCTAGCATTGAAATACAGTTTGTTATTCCTCAGTAGAGCTATCTAGTCTGTATGTGTCACTGTAACATAATTAGTGAAATAATTTTGACATATCTCATATACTGATTTTACTTTTTTAGAGAGACCATTAAGCAATTTGTCCTGCGACTCTACATTTTTGGAGCATAGTACTGTTTGAAAAACATTAATGGTGGCATTGGTTTACCTCATGGTGGATGGAAACTGCTGCTGTCAAAGGCAGCCTTATTTCTCTTCCTGATTTTTTGAGTCTATTTCTAGGTTATTCCAATTCTTTTTTCAAGAAAGTCTGAAAGGCATTTCAGAAGAAGCTTGTAGAAAGTTTTTAGCACAGGTATTCATGACAACCTGTGCCCTTCTGTTACACCTCTCTGAGTGTTGTAGTTAATAATAGCATGAAATGGTGCCAAGAGGCACGCGGAGAGCGTGCATGCCCTGTGTCGGTGTGTTCCTCCTCTTTCCTGCCTTATAAGCTGAGGAATTGGGCAATGCTTCATTATACTGTTAAGAGTTATGTGAGAACAACCACAAATGGACAGTGTCTCTTGCGTGGAGGATGAAGTGTTTTCCTAGAAATCTGAAATTTTTATGTGCGGGAGGGCATTGAATAACTGCAGAAATAATTCCCTTGCTATAGATCCTACCCCTGTGTGTTTGTTCATATAGAAGGAGGGCAGAGACTATTCTGGGACCTTTGTTAGCCAGCTGCATGGACGGAGTCTGGCCGGTGAGATGCAGCCAGTAAGCATAGCTGCCGCGCAACTCTCGGAGCAAAGGTACAGTGTTCTAGTGTTGGGCTTCACGAGGTTGCGGCAGTGTTAGTAGGGTTATGTTTTGGTTAGGAAAGGAAAATCTGCAATTTCAGAAGTCGGCTCAGGCATCTGCCATCATCCCTGAGGAAAAGATGGTAGGAAATTAAAGTGACAACACTATAACAGAGGTCCCCAAATCTGGAGTTTTGGTGTAATGTTGTACAAACCAGATAAATTGCCCTGAGCACCGCTGTATGTGGAGGAGATGAGGGATACGGTTAAGAGCCTGAATTTACACCTTGCCTTCAGCGAACGTATGCTAATGATAACTTATACACAAGTGAAGAGAGGAATTGTTAATGCACAAGGAACTACTTGTGTAGTAGTGTTACAAAACTCATTGAAAGAAGAGAAAATGGTCCACTTCATAATTGGAGCACTTAATCAGATTGTTTCTTACTGTTAGTGTAATCATCATTAACAATAAGGCATAGGACCAAATTTTATGTAGTTGTTGCCATGCAACCCATTGAAACTTGTTTTCATATAGTTAAGAGAATGGGATGGTTATAGAAAAGATGAAGTTTATCCATAAACTGCTGATGTGTCAGTCCAAGTAGCTGTTGCCTTCACGTCAAACTGGTGATCCACAGTGCCGTAGGGGAGGGGGAATGGAATTAAAATTTTAAATGTTGAAAGAGTATATGTTATTTTTTTTAATTCTGTAAGTGCCTTTGTTTCAGAAATGTTTTGTCAAATTAAATACAGTAGAATATTCTGTTGTACTGAACTTACTAGATAATCATTGTTGATTTTATTACATACTCTAACCTAGCTTTGTATGTTGTTTGTAGTTTAAACGTGAGTATTCAAAAGAAATGGCATAAACTCTATGCACCTTTGTAATAAATGCAGTGTTTGAAGTATATTCTATCAATTTTGTTTTCTTAGCCTCATTTTGAGTATTATTTAGGAGTGTATCTGCAAAGCTACGTTTTACTTCACTGTATTTGTCAGCTAGCGTTACCAAGTGTACTTTAAGTCACCTTGTATCATGAATATCACTTTTGGTAGTGGAGAATGAAGCCTAATCAAAATCACAGGTCACAACGTAAAGCAAAGGCAATATATAAGCTCCTGAATGATATTCTGGCAGTGTGCTTCAAAGCTAATCTAAAAGGATTGCTTCTAAGGCCTTGTCTAGCCCAAGGAGTAAATTAAGTGCAGGAAGTTTGTATGTGTTAGCTAACAAATCCAAAGACATTTGAAAAGTCTAGTGTAGACAAGGTAGCAGACTTCAAAGAAGTCTATGATTTGATTAAAGTTTAGTATCTTCTTAATATATATTTTGACCTGTGTGTTGAATATCATGCCTCATTTATCAACTTGACCAATGTGTTGTGATGCTTTCTACTCGGTGTGAAAACATTTTTGCTGATGTTTTTGTGTACTTTCAATAGTTTTGAAAAAAATGCTTTTGAAAGGTTGTATTCATGCCCCTGACTCATTAGTCTTTCACTTGAAAATATTTTCTTTTAGCAGGTCAAGAATGCTTTTTTAAAGACACCAAGTAGTACTGAATCCGTTGAGGGTGTTCAGTATATAATCATTATTACCTTGAATTGCCAACTAAGTTTCCAATGTAGGATTTAAAGGGGGGCGAGGAACACATCCCCCCTGCTGCCCCCAAGTTGTTTAGTTGTTTATCATGGAATAATCAGGTAGTTTGGTAATGCTACTTCTGGAATTAGTTGAAGTTTCAGCTTCAGGTTGATAATGTATTGCAGGTGAAATGTAGATCATGTCACTTCCAACTTTATTTCACATTTTCTCAACAGAATTTCTATTAGTTAATTGGGGACAGCAGACAAAATGCTCCTAAAAACCTAAGTCTAGAAAACAAATATAATTAATGTTTGGGCTAGAAATTATACCAGGAAAATGCAGTTATTTCTGGTTTTGTTGCTACTATTTTTTAGTTCATCTATTTTCTTTTCCCATGACTTTTTAGCAGGTGTACCTGTGCAACACGGCTGAACTTGTGATGTGCAGAGAAGCCTCCTTCTGTTCAGAGAAAAATCTCCGTGCCTTCCCTTCTCTCGGTGCACAGGTCTGAGGAACAGGAGCTAGTGTTTTGTTTAAAACCTTCGGATTTCCTTTAATGACCACATAGGTTTTCAAAGGTACCTTCACCCTCTAAAATTGCAGCAAATTCTTGTATAGGAGAGCAAACTGCTGAACTAAAAAATTGAGAGCCTGAGGTCAGGTGGGGAATACTGCTGGTTATGTTTTCGTAACTTTTAATCAGCAGTTGTTTATGGTAGGGTGAATTTTGCCAGAACAAAACTTGGCGTGCATCTTAAAACCCATGGCAGGGTTGCATGGAGGAGCTGGATGCAAAGGAGGAAAAAAACTTTAGCACTTATTGCCAAACAAGCAATTCTCTCTTTTTTTTTTTTTTTTTGTTTTGTTCCAAGCATGGAAAGCTAGTATCATATCTAGGCATGTATGATAACTTGCCAGGTTTGCTTTAGCCAGTGTTTGGGGCCTATTTTTTCCCCTCTGGTTACTTTTTGACCTGATCTACTTGTTAGTATAGCCTGCATCACAGGAACCTGGTCAGATTTAAGCAAGCTGTATAGGAGGGAAAAAAGTACCCGAGTTAAACCTGTTAGAGGTGAGATAAAGCTGAAGAAAATAAGTTATTTTATCCTTTCAAGAGCTCAGGTGTCTGTATTGATGGAGTAGTCTCCTCTGCTTCACTTTTATGGTAGGCTCCACTAAGGGCGAGTAAGCCATGTTATAAAGGATGTCCTGTTGTAAAGTGATTTCTGTAGGTTTGAGGCACAACTAACTACTCTTGTCAGTACTGGATAGCGAGGAGGCTCTGCCTGGCACGGGTGAGGCCTGGGTCCTCTCTGGGTGCCCTGGGGCTGCAGCGCGTTGTGCGGGTTCGGAAGTGATGCTGTTTCCGTCTCAGTGCTGTCCCTCCTCTCCTGCAAACAAGTCGGGTAGCTGTCTCACCTTTTGTTTCACTAGAGCAAAGAATAGTTCAAGATACGTATAAATTAACCTCTGATAACCCGTTTCCCTTACTGCAGTCAAAATAACTTTTAAATCAGTTATTGGAGCCTTTTAATTCTAACATTTCTCGTTCCTGCAGTTGGTTTTTGTGGTTCACTCTCTGATGTTACTTTGGCCCTGGAATCGGGTAGGATCTGCTTTGTTGGAGCACAGTGGTGTCTTAAAAGAAAGTCTTTAGCAAAACAAACTGTTAAGCTACATTCTCAAAATACCAACCTACAGTATGACTAATGCACAGACAAAAAAAATATTACTGTTCTATTATCTCTGTTAGGAGACTCTGTAGTTATGTGGTTGGAATATAATAACCAATATGAAAATAAACTAGCTGTTTCCTCTAGATATTTTCAAAAGCATGTTACCACTTGAGCAGCTATTCAGAGCACTATTTCACTTACAGGCTTTAGGACTAAAACTTGT